GAAAAGATGTGCCTCCTGCTTTCCATTGCAGCCTTTTCTGTTTCAGTGTTTGCTCTTCTTTCCCTACAGCTTCCCATGGTTGTCTCCTTTGATATTTCGGTTGCAAGTCTACACCCATTGATGTTCCTTGACCCCTGGCTGGAGGGAGACCCTTTCCAGTCACTCATCAAGTTGCTCTCTTTTATCTGCCTTTATTGAACTTCAAATAATCTGTTTCACTAATGTGCTTATTTCCCTGCTTACAGTTCAGTGTCTGTTTCCTCTCACTGTCATGAGAGTTCCTGAGGGCAGTGACTCTGCCTATCTTCCTTCATGCTGTATCTCCAGGGCCTTGGACACGCCTGGTCTGGCTTCAGATGGGCATTTATGAAGCAATGTCGTGGCTCTTGTGGCTCCAACACCTCCAGTAGGAGACAACTGAGGGGTCAGAATGGAGATAAGCAGAATCTGCTGTGGGCATCACCACCTACGCCTTGATAGTTCCAGGCTCTACCTACACTCCTGGCTGAAGTGGCCAGAACACCTGTGGATTTTCAGAACATTTTTATCTGGCTCTGCAAATCAACATGGAATTTGCACACATTTTTGCAGTTGAGGAATTCATTTAATCTCTAGCTATATTTTTAAAAAAGGATTTAACTTAGAATGAGCATGAGTTGCATACTTTTTTTTGTTGTTGATGAATTTGTTTTTGTTTCACTACCTGTTGAGTTTTAGGTGAGAAAAAATTAGAATCTGTAAAAGTTATTATAATCACTCTTGTTCAACTCCTAGGTTTTCCTATTCTTCCTCCTCCATCTTCTCATTTTCTTCTTTTCCATCTTCTCCCTTTTCTTCTTTTTCTATTTTAAATAATCATATTTGTGCAAGATCATCATTCACTTCAATTTTATTCTCAATGGAATGTTTAAAATTTTTGTACTGGGAACTGAACCTAAGGACACTAACCTACCAAACCACATCCACATCCCCAGCCCTTTTTACACTTTATTTTGAGACAGGGTCTTGCAAAGTTGCTGAGGCCTCAAACTTGTGATTCTCCTGCCTCAGCCTCCTGAGCTTCTGGGATTATAGGCATGTGCTACTGTGCCTGGCCTCAACGGAAATCTTAACTGCACCACTTAATTAACTCACTGCAGAGACATTTAAGTAACTGGCCTGGTAAAACTGCATTTTTCTTTTAGAAAGTATTAACAATGAATATTAGCAAACTACACTTTATGAAATAAACTAGACTTAATAAAATGAAAAATTTTGAATAGCTTTCCAATGACTTATTTTTGAATTTTAAAAAGTACTTCCTTATTAAATGCATTCATGCCCATATACATAGGCACGCTGGATTGCAAAATGAAGTTTTCATGCTTGTTACAATGTACAATGTTTCTGCCATGGATGAGGAAAGTGAATTATTATCACAGGGCACACACACACACACACACACACACACAAACATAAACACACACTTATACATACTAATAGCTAGGAGATTAGAATAGGACTTCTAAGCTTATCTGTCACCTGATATGTTAATTATACCAATAATAATGATGACTATAACAGCAATGAGTAATTACTAAATTCCAGGAAGAGTCATTTATAAAAGTTATCGAATTTAATTCTCAAAACTACCTAATGTCAGATATTCCCATTTGTAGATGAGGAAACTAAACCAGTAAGAAGCAGAGCTAAAGTTCATAATCATATCTGTTCACTCTCTGCACAGTACCCACAGGGTGCCTTATAATTGGACACCTTTCCAATAACATACTTAGTCATCCTCAAGAAAAAGAAAAGACTGTGCAATGATTCTTTTATTTCCCCAACCAACTGGATTTATAGTGGAAGATCCTAATATATTTAGATAATTATATCAAGCAAGTGTTTTATAACATTACCTATTCTGCTTAATTATGCATTCTGAAGCCATCTACTCTTCTCAGTGAAGTGAAATTAGAAAAGAAGGCTGAACAGGAGAGAAAATGAAATTAGGCAGTTCTTATGAATCATATTTTCTCAGGAAAGTGTCAATCCACACACATAATGTAGTATAGCCACTTTGCAGAATCCACATGAGAATGAGATATTTCTCCTATCCTCAGAAAGTTCATTGCCATTTATCTATATATGTATATACACATAATGTATAATCCTCATTACTAATTATGTACTCAGATCTGCATACATGTAGATATGTACAAGTGTGTTTATGTGAAAACACACACACATTCACAGACACACATATAAACATGCAAATATTTACGTACATACATACACATATGCATATATGTGCACATAATTAGTAATGGTAAGGGTAGGATCATGATTACATTTATTGAGCACTAACTGTATCCTAGGTACTGTGCTAATTATTCCTATCATTTTTAAATCTCATACCAATTCCAATTTTAAAAAGTGTTTAAATGGTAAGAAAGTGGTTCAGTATCATACTATTAGTAGCTGGTGACCTCTGCTTTCAATCTTAAGTATGCTTTATAGTACAGCTCTGGGAGGAGACTATGACAAGTCTATTTCTACTTTCTGAAAAAGGTAAAAAATTGAATTTCAAATACATCAAACTAAGTTGGAATATAGGAATCATTCTCAACCAAAAATAAGTCATCTTAATATTATCCATTAGTCTCCCATGGTTTGCTAGAGTGAAAAATTGACTAAAACTGTATACTGGGTTGTTTTAAAAGCATTGGTCACAGACCATACAGACTTTATTGAAGGGCAGTGGATATTGAGGTCCTGGGCACCTGTTGCATACAGCCTGAGAAGTCCCTATGCACTTGGATAGTTACTGAGGTGGGAAAAACAGAGATGCATGGAAGGAAGAGGAGGCAAGGAAGTGGAATGGGAGACAAGAAGAGAGATGATCTTGACCTCTCCTTATAGCTATTTGCCATTTCCCAAGGGAACTTGGCCTTCTCAGAAATTATTCTTAAGGCTCAAATTTTCCTAGTACCCACCCAAAGTAGGGTTATCAAGAAGCTGTGTCCAGTTCTGAAGATGTTAAGCATTCTAAAAACCATCATTTAAATGCATTTGATGAGTGCTTGCCATTTCTAATTTTACTGCCTTACTATTAATTTATCTCTCCCCCACTTTCAGTTTTGAGCTTTGGTTATTGAATCTATAAACCCTGCTTTTAAAGTTTCTTCAAGTAAAACATTAACATGAATAAAAAGATTTTTCCCCAAACAGTGGTCAAGACATATGTGATATAGTCTGTGCCTATTCATGAAGAATCAAACAGAGGAGTTGTATCCAAAAGCCACATGCCCAAGATCTCTATGTATCAGAAGATGATTTTTGCCTCTTGGGATCATCGGCCAAACACGTTAGGCCAAATTGACCATATTTGGTGCCAGAAGCCTAGTAGGAGGGGGAAACACATGTACCTCTGTGGAGCAGACCAAGAGGCCAATAGGAAAATACACAAAAATGTTCTAACTATTGCCATTTAGTTACAGCACAATTCAATGTATGGGTGGAAGCAAATGTCTGAGGAAAGTAACCTTGAACAATTTTCATCCAAACTACAGAGCCTCTCCAATATTCCAGTTAACACTGGCTGGGGAAATTAGTGATAAGTTCTCACGATAACCTTAGACACCAAAAGCAAGAACATTCATTCCTCCCCTAGCCCATGTTTGTACTGCTCTCCATAAAAGGAGTGGTGTTGCCTTAAAGATGTTGTGTTAGAGTCAAGGTGTTTCTAATTGACATTTAGCTTAGTCATAAGCCAAGCATCACAGAAAGCACATACGTTAGGACTGATGGTGCTTCATACTAGTGCTTCATACTTTGTGGGACATAAAGGTCTTTTCATGAAGCCCATCGATCATCATTCTAACATGCCAAGCCTGCTTTTTCCATGAGCAACTGAGAACAGACACATCACTGAACATATTAAAAGGGAAAGAAATGTAGAAACCAAGCATTGACACTTAAATTTTAATGCTGAGCAGCATTACATGATTCTGCAATAATGTAAACCATGCTTGATGGATTATTTTCGAATTAAAACTGGAAGAGGTGCCACATGCTATTTTTTCATTTACAATGTTCTCATGTGGAACTCACATAGTGTTTCATAGCTCACCATCGTGCAAGAGACTTTAAGATTACAACAGTAGCAATTTTTTTTCCTATTCTAAATTTAATTCTTAAGAGGAAAAAATCCAACATATTGATGCCATTTTTAGTACTGTGTTCTATTTTGCCATCTTTTCTTGATGCCAAATGAATGAATGAATAAAAATACATGTTTTGAGTGACCTAACAAGTAGAATTAACTGTTGTGAACATGTTGGCTAAACATGAGGCTGAGCATGTTCTAACAGTCAAAACCTTCCCCCCATCCATGTCTGTACTGCCCTCCACACAAGAAGTGGTCCTGGAAAAGGCTGCTGAGTGTTTTAAGTAAAATCGAGTGTAGTCAACCAGGCTCAGACTTTCAGGTCCTGTGTGATCTCATGATCTTGCAGACATGTGTCAACCCTGAGGCTCTGTGATTATAGCATGGACTCTTCCCAAATCTGGGTTGTCACTTAAACTAAAATCATCAGGACCTTTTTTTTTTTTTTCTGTAATGAAATTTATGGTCATCTTTTCAAACAAAAAGGGGAAATATTTTCTTTAGTTTTAATTCTTAAAACCTGTCCAAGGCTCACACACCTTTTTATTTAGCTGTACCTTGCTTCAGTTGAATCAAATTTAATTTTGTATCACTTCACTATAATTTTATTTTTTTTATTTACTATGCTTTCTTTCAAAATGCATGACCTAAATATTTATGTACTAGATCCAAAATGGCATTCATTACAAAAAAGCTTTTAGAATTTTGACCACATGGATAGGAACAAAACACAACATAAGGAATTAATAAAGTTTGTTCACCCTCACGCCACTGTATTTAATCTCAGAAAATGATCTCTATCCTTCATGAAACCAGTGTCTGCTTTTAATCATAGGGTGGTTTAGCTACTTACCACAAAAGAATAATAAATCCTGAATCCAGGTTTTGCCACAAAGTAGTCATCAGACTTGAATGTTATTTTAATTTGGTTTGTTCTTGATATTATCCTTGGAGGAACTTCCTTGTGTCCACACCATCGGCCTCTAATAACGGTACTGGTTTCAGATACATCTTCGACTTCCACAAAATCGTACCTAGGATCAGTTTGACATGAATAAATATGTTTTGATTAAAGTAGATTTTGAAATTCATAATTACACTGAGAAATTAAAACCAACAAAAGTGATTTATTGTTATCTACCAAATGAGATGACTAGCATACCTACAGAATTGTTAAAAGGAAAGCTGGTTAGGGGCGAGGTTTTCCAAACTCAAACTTTGGTAATCTAGTCTAAGAAAATCTGTACATGCATTCAGTTACTGTTTTTAGATCACCAATAATCCAAATGGGCTACTTTCTGAGCGTCTAGCTTAGAGATTTCTTAGAAAAACTAACAACTGCAATCTGTATATTTTAGGTGTAGCTCAAATTATCTGCCCAAATGTTTATTTTATAAGTCTTTAAAACAAATTTACTGTTTGAATTAATTTAACACATTCAGTTCTTCCTTGAGGACATGATTGATTTATATGTAGCTTATAAAATAAGTATTCTCATTGCAGAAAATAAACAAATATGGGTACAATTTGTTTCTATTCTCTTCATGGAAACCATATTATGGAAGGATCACATCATAAAGTATGACATTTGTCATAAGGGAAAGCATTTTACTTTGAGGAAATGTATGTGCCACTCCTACTGGACCAGTCTGGCTGGTTAAACCGTGTGAACTGAGGACCCTGGGCTCACCTTGAGCACTGGGCAGAGAAACATGGGATCCAGGATGGAAGAAAATAGCCAAGGCCTGTTTAGTTATCCCATGTGACCATTCAATCCTTGAAGTTCCTCTATACAATCCTATCACAGTAGGATATCTTCAGTGATACAGTTTCCATCTTCTAGTGGTCATTTATTTTATTTCCAGAGCCCTGAGATCTGCTTATTTGGTTGAACTATCTGACTTTCAGTTCTGGTCATCACTATCTTGTTCCTGAGCTCTGCCTTTCTCAAATAACTTCAGATGTCAAAGTCATAAGCATAGGGTGGGCATTCAGGGTGAACAGTGGCAGAAAACTCTGATGCATCTTATATTCTTCTGTCACGGTTACCAGAAGGAATCTGCATAAGAAGCATCAGAGCTAAATATGAATAAAACTGGTAAGTATGGTTTACCAGTTTTACCCATGAGCCTCTTACTTGATTGAGAAGGGTAATCTAGGGTGTAGGTGAAAAATATTAACATTGTGACTACATTTCTTTGACAGTGATTTATGAGGCCCTTATGTCCTTTGCCTCAGTTTCCTTATGGGCAAAATAAGAAGGCTTATATAATTTTACCAGCTGGATATCTCTTGGGTGCTGTGTAAATTAATTACTTAACATTTATATGGTGTTTGGAAGGTAAAAAGCACTCACAAAACATCATTATTTAGGCAATAAAATATTACAATGTAAACATCACAGAGGCTTTGGAACAGATGGTAGGAAATCAATTGCATTTCATTTTATATACAGTGTATGTAAATCATATTTACTGCTCAAAGCATAACTATACTTGAAACTTTGTTAATAACACTATAGGTCACTTTCGTTTACAAAAAACAACATCAGTTTAATTTTACTCAGAGTCCAAAGTTAAGAGGATACCATGTTTTTTCTTCGGGAGGATTTTGAGACAAGTAAATGATCTGCTTTTCCCCTTTCTCTTGCTTCTTTAACTCATTCTGTATATTTTGAGACCCAGTGAGATATGAGGAAAGGTCCAGAAAGAAAACCATCCTAACACTTACTCTCCTATTTTCAACACCAGGATGCCCAAAGGGCTCACTTCTAGGACTAAAAGTTCATGAGTAGCTTCCCTTCTGTGGAGCTGTGCGTGGTTCCTATCCAAAATCCCTTGGAATTTGAGTGATGGATGAAAAGATCATCTTTTATTGTTCATAATAAGCCCCTTTCAGTCACAACTGAATTTATCCTGAAGTGATGACATTTGGCAGGCCCCTAGATAGCTTCAGGATGGAGGATGGTCACCAGAAAGACCAAGCTATGATTAGAGGGTCGGAATTTTCAGTCCCACCCTGAACCTCTTAGCTTAATCACCAATTCAATCACCCATGCTTCCATAATGAAACCTCCACAAGCCCTCCTAACTATGGGGTACAGAGAGCTTCTGGGTTGGTGAATACGCCAAGTGTTTAGACAGTGATGCACCTGGAGAAGGTGCCCTTCCATATACTTGCTCTGGAGAGCTGTAGGACCCCTGATTGATCAGTTGTTCAGTTAGAAATGGGGGAGGCCTGGGATCTGCAACTGAATTTAATGTAGGGAAGGCTTGTGGGATAGATAGCTAACTCTAAGCAGATGGTGGCAGAGTTCATTTGAATTGTGGGATACCCAGATGGTGGTAGAGAATTGGTTGATGTGTGTGTGGGGGGGACCCTACACATTTGGTGTCAGAAGTGTTCTGTGGGTAGAAACGGATCATGGTATCTTCTGTTTCTCACCTTGAACAATCTCACCTTCTGTCCTCACCTTTTAATAGTGTTTTTCCCCCTAGGATTTTTATTTTTTTATTTTTTATTTTTGGTGCATGTCAGTACAGAAAATTAGTTCTCTTTCAAGGTTGAAAAGACACAAGATCAGCTTTAGTTTATTCTCTTTGTAAATATTAACTGGCTCTCCTTGCATGTATTAGTCTCTGTTTTCTGGCATACATTACCCTCTGTGGTCCTAGAAAGTAATAGTCACTGCTGTTATTCTTGGGAAAGTAGCAACATAATAAAAGCTGTCAGCATAATAAACATGCAACAAAGGACGATCAAATTTGAGACAACTCTTTTTTATTATTCAAAGGAAAATAAACCTGCTGAAAGGATTTAGCAGTTCAGTAGTTCATTGGCAATGCAGAACAAGTGCATGCAGTAAAGTATGAAAAGGAAAGAAAAATCCCTCCCAAGCCTAACACATGATAATTGAGTGAGTAAGATGCTGTGGGAGGACAATTCAAAGAACAACAGCCTGGACTTTCTCTGAAATGTGCTAAGAAGGGAGAAGATTATCAGATCCAACTTTCATCTTCCATCCCTGGCCCAGAAACCACAGGAAACAGGTGCCATAGGAGCACTGATGCTGTGGTTGCTTTCTCTTCCTTCCCACACATATCTGAATTCTTAAAAGTATGAATTCAGACTAAGGTCCTGACCAGAACCTCAGCTTCCATCTTCTCTCAGCTTTGGGAAAGTCATGGCTACAATTGTCTTGGGTCAATTCCTGGAGTTAAGTTGAGGGTTATGCTCCCTATGCCCATGGCAGGTTCCCACACTCTGACCAGGTACAGCTGCTGCAGGTGACTGAAATATTGGATGCATCTACCTGCTCACAATGCCTATTCTCTGCTTGGAAGGTCATGGACCTCCAGATTGCACCCTTCTTTGGAAGTCAGAGTCATAACAGTTGCCAGAGTTAACATGGCAGGCTATCAGGCCCTCAGTGGTAGCATATCTACACTTTTTGTCTCTAGGGCTAATAAACAGCTTTTTGGGAAAAGAAGGGATACATCTTAGGTAGGTCTAAAGGGCTCAAAAGGAATGCTGATGTAATGTTTTAAATTCATCTTTTTTTCTATACTTTATAGCCTATAATAAATATTTTCCCCACACTTACCTACAGATATCATTTTCTGCTTCCTCTAATCCAAATTGATTGTCAAATGCCAGCTGTATCCTGGTTTTGTCTTGGGAATGGAGCCGCCATGTCAGAAGCAGGTTCCTGGGGTAGCTATTCGGGAAGCGCGGACTCTGTACATGACCGTTTCCTGTCACTTGGATGGTTTCTTCTTTTCGGTACAAGTCTGTGAGGTGATTGCTCTCTGTTAGTAGTCACAACTTGTATAAATTAGTAGGTTGCTCCAATTACAGGAAAGCAAAAAAAGAACAATTTATAATACAACATGACATTTCAAAGCACTTCTTGATTTTCTTTACAAACATGAGACCAAATGGTAGTATTCATATTAAACTAGCAATATTTATTTCTATTATCTCCACCTCCCCAAATTCTTCACAAAGTTTAATGCCCCAAACTTCATGGTTTGGGGCCTCTCTTACATCATTCCTCACAAACAAAAATTAACAACTATTTCAAAACTCGGGTTCATTTTGATTAGAATTAAAATCATCAGATAATTCCAAATAGTTCAACCTTTCTCTTTTCTATGTAATTCAAATAAATAAATTTTATCATGCTGACAATGTAACAGTACATTTCCAGTGACTAACATAGTAGGTACTTGATAAATATTGCTGATAAATAAGTAACTAAAAACAAATTAAAATACTCCAGTAGTGTTCAGTGGCCATTTATTTTCTGTGCATATTGCATTTTTTCCAGTGAGTTTCTCTACCATAAAACTACAACACATATATAGTTTTATGGTAGAAAAACTACATACATATGTAGTTCTATGGTAGAAAAAAAATATATATTTTTTTGGCTGTGACTTTCTGTTACTTAAAATAGAACCGATTTTTGTGTAGCTTTTTGCACATTTTATAATAAAGAATTTATGTGGTCTTTGTCCTGGGTTTAAGGAATGAATCAAACCCTTGGAATTTCCCAGGTGGTAGGACTACCTTTGCTTTTCATGGTGGGTCCCTGAGATTTCATGTGCATTTATCCTAATGAGGCAATTTACTGTGGGTGTTTACATGGTTTCAGGATTGGGGCTGGCCATGCCAGGAAGACCAACATGGAATTGAAGGAGGCTTCCAGACACTTGAAACCAGCCTGACCTGACAAACTTCAGGATAGACGTAGGGTTGGAGGCTGATGGTCATGTTGCTAATTATTCAGTCAATCATGCCTTCATAATGAAACCTCATTAGAAACTCTGGATTACAGGGCCAGGAAAAAGCTTACTGGTTTGTGATACACATTAAGGTACCAGGAAGGTGATGTAACCTAAGGACAGAGAAACTTCACTCATGGAATCCTCCCACACCTCACTCTATGTGTCTTTTTATCTCACTGGTTCTAATATATGTCTTTTGTAATAAAACTTTTAGTGTTCTCCTGAGTTCTGGGAGCTAGTCTAGGAAATTATCAAAACTTAGGGGCTTTGGGATCATTGAATTTGAGCCAGTTGGTCCGAAGTACATGTGGTCTGGGTCCTCCAAACCTACAGCTGGTTCTTCAGTGGGGGCAGTTGCATGGGGTTTGTACCCTTAACTGATGAAATGGGACTTTAAGGAGTTTAAATCAACATGGGATCTCTTTTTCATATCACCCAGTATTCAAAGTTTTTTTTTTTTTTTTCCATTTTAGATGTTGGTTTTTTAGGCCCCACCACAAATAGACCTCAAGCCACAGTCTATTTGTGTTTTCCTGCAGAGCATTTACTTTGAGGTCTATAATTCATTGAGCCTGGGCAGTGAGACTAAACTAGCTGGTGGAAAGTACTATAAAGTAAGGCTGCTGAGAGTGGCTATTAAAGTTTCCAAAATAAGAGAGGGAGAACACACAGGAATTGACAAGCCAAATACAAAAGCCTGTCTACTTTACATAATTTTGTGCACATAGAAATTTATTTATTTATTTATTTTTACTTTGCTCAGGGTTTCATATGCAGCAGCTTGCTCAGCTAGAGAGAGACCCAGGAGGTGCATTGGTAGGAGAGAGATGCCGTACTCTATGCCTCAGGATGACAGCACTGGATATGTAGTAATATTACCATCTCCAGTGAATCTGGCAACTGGACAACCTCAGAAGAACCAAGAAACATTTCTACCGATTGATCCTTAATTCTTCTCTTCCCTTGAACTTTTGCTGAAAATGTAACTATGAAAATTATTATCTGCTCATTTCATCGTAGGGGGGTTTAGGAAATGGATCTGAAGACTATTTTCTAGGTTGTAGGATGTGAGATATCAATCGCTCAACAATGATCGAGTAAATGCAAACTCTGACCATATGTACGGCAGTATTTTTGAGGCTTATTTGAGGATTGCTTTCTTAATTTTTTTCCATATTTTCTTAACTCTTAACTTTTCTTTCTAAATAGTGTTTTTAATCAAAAGCAAATTTGATTTGCTAAAAGAAAACTTTATATCAATAACATCCATGGCAACTGGATCCCACATGCCATGAATAGAAGGACAATATATCTAAATATATAGCTATTATATTTAAAAATATACATCTAGGTGATAAGATTATTCCTTTGTATAATAAGTGGGGGGGGGGCGAGATGGCACATTTCTCTTAGATTTCTTTCAGGGTTAACATTCAGTGGTTCTGTGTGTGCTCATTTCCTGTTTCAAGTGCTACTCTAGATTCAGGTATAATTTAAGAACATTTAAAGAATGATTCCTATTTCCTACACCTGGAAAGCAAAGTGAATGCATACCAGACACAAAGGAATGCTAAGTGCTGAATGTAAATGCAGTATTTGCAGACCTAGGTAGTGGTGAGTATAAGGGGTGTTCATGGCATCATCGTCAGAAGCCTATCCAGAGAAGTCAACCTGGCCCAAGGGAGACAGGGGGAGGAAACAGGCTTTAAATGCAAACTACAGAAATACCTAAAGGCCAGGCAGAAGCCAGGCAGAAGTGTCTGCACTTGATATAATTGAAAACCTGAAAGCTGTGGAATGGGCAAACAGCTTGTTGAAAGTGGTTCAGAAGTAATTCCTGTCTCCTGGGAGGTAGCTACTAGGGTGATATGTTCTAATCTAAAGAAGGGCAGTTGACCATGAAGCTGCATCAGGGAAAAAGTCAAAAGGAACATGTAGTTAAGAAAGGAATGCAAAGGGATGGGGCAGAGTCAGTGGCAACATGTTAAGCCCAGGAACTGGGTCCAGCATGGTATTTTTATACTCAGGGGTATTGCAAAGAGAAAAGGTTTTAAAGACATACAAGTTCAATTTTGATGTGGTGATGAAGAATTCAAGTGGAAATGTTAACACGTTTTGTGGATATGTGCAAAGACCTGAGCCGAGAGAATGGAACAGATGTGAGGCCTACAGGAAGTCTTAGGAATCTTTCAGAGAGGAAATATACCCTGAGTAGGGATGGCTATGCCTGGTACCTAGGGGTGGTAGCTGATGAAAGAAGAGTTGGGGAAGTTAAAAGTAATGGCTGGGAGTGAAGCCAAGTCTAAGTTAGACTAAGAAAAGGAATGATTTCACCATTACTGATACAGTGGTCAACAGAGGCAAATGCAGAAGCAAAACTAGGGATTTTTTTAAGTATAAAAGGGATTTGTCTCTTTTTTGTTTTAGGATGTCAATCAAGTCTAGATTGTCTTAAAGATACTAACTCTGGTTATAAATGAAAGGCTAATTATAATTTGATGATGATAAAGCAGGTAGAAAGAAGTATTTTCTTTTTATATTGTTTATGACAGCACTTATTTCTAATTTTATAAATATCTCACAGACCTATGCTCTACTATTATTTTTTTCTGATTTATTTTTCTTTAGAAATAAAATTTTGCAAATATATACACACAGTAAATATGAATAACAAAAAGCTATAGAAATGTTTATTTTGAACCAGGCATTGTTGTAAGCATTTTTCTCATTTCATTTACAGGGTATAATCACTTTATATATGCTCTCCTGTGTGTGTATGCTTGCACAAGCATGCACATATATGACCATATGCACTTTAACAATTCTCTGAAATGTGTGTTATTATTGCCACTATTTGACATGTGATGATTTTGGAGAGGTCACAGAGCTAGTTAAAGGTGGAATCAGAATACAAACCCAGACAACCTGGTCACATAGTTCTTGACTACTGAGCTATATAAAGTGTTCTTCCCTCTTAATCTGAAATTTGCTATGCGAAGTTTTAGATTCTTGGCTATCTGGAACATATTTTAACTTCTGAATCACATTGTTTACGTATAATTTATAACTTCATGCCAACTCATGCCTAATCTTAGCAGAGGACTTATAGAGAATTTTATAGATACAGAGAATAACTTATCAGGTTAAATCTGAGATCACTACCAAAGTACTTTAGGCCAAGTCACATTCCTGAAAACACACATTTACTCCAGTGTTCCAATAGCAGCTAACATTTATGGAGCAATTATTATATGCTACGCATTCCGATATGTGGTCTAAAGCCACTACTTCACTTAATCCTCACAACATCCCTGTGCAGTTGATACTATCCTCACTATACAAAAGAGGTTCTTAGAGTTTAAAGGATTTGTGACCTCAAGGCCCAAAGCCAGTGGTAGAATCAAGATCTGACCCTAAGCTGTCTACTTTCAAAGTATACATGCTTACCACAGTAAGCACTGTATACTAGCTGTTAAGCCACAAAAATAGGAAACAAATCACTTTTCATTGATAGGGAATAATTTCTACATATGTTTTTATAGCAAGAATATAAAGTCTTACTTTGCATCTTAAATACAGAAAGAAGTTCATATTCTCATAAACTCTGAACTATTCATTTGACTTACAAAATGAAATTTTTCAAAAAGACAAAATATTTTACTTATATCCAGTCATCCCCCAATCTTCTAAAAAGTATTCCAGATGAAAAGTCTCCATAAGCACTATCACATATCTTTGAAGTTCATTTAGATTAATGGTTCTCAGTGTGGTCCCCAGACCAGCATCATGGGCATCACCCAGGAACTGTTAGAAATGCCAGTTCTCAGGCTGCACCACAGGCCTACTGAAAGAGGTGCCAGGGAAGGAGTCCACCACAGGCATTAGTAAGTCCCCTGGCAATCCTGAACCCTAAAGTTGAGAACCACTGAACATTCAAAATTTCTACTATCTTGCTTCTTATTCTCAATTTCTCTGGTTCTTCCAACTCCTTGCTTTGATTCTGTACCTCACATCTGGCT